CGGGGGCTGCGAACCCCGGCCTCGGCGCCACCGCGGACTGCCCGCGCCAAGCTTCGCGGCCGCTGAAAACTTGGGCGATTGTCTCACTCGGCTTCGCCCGGGCCTGGGGCTCGGGAGTGACACGGAGAAGAGAGCCGCGTCTTGCTACGATCGCTGAGCTGGCGGAAAGTGTTTTTTGGGGAGAGGTCGCTGCAATTAAAGAGCAGCATTTGGTTCAAACGTGAGCTCCAGGCCGCCTTGCGATTTTTATTTTATTTTATTTTATTTTTTAGTTTTGCAATTTTGGAAAAGTAGTTCTAAAGAAAGAGACCCGAAATATGAGCAGAAGAGTGCGAAATCTATGTAAATGTGTTTGGCTTCGCTTTTAATTAGTCCTCCAAAATGTTGCAAATCCGTAATCCTATCTTCGCAATCCGATTTGGAGGTATTAAATTTCTGAAAAGTCGGCCGAGCTGCGGTGCATCCGGGATTTTTCGGCCGGGTGCACTTTCTGGAAAAGCGTCGTGGCTTCGGTTTGGGATAACATTTTTGGAGGGGTGGGAGAGCTGCGGCAAGGTTTAGCTTTTCGTTTGCCTTTCTTTGGGGTGGAGAAAATGCCTTTGCTTCCCCATGCTATTTCTCTTGCGCCTAAAGTGAAGCCACCCGGGCGCGGAGCGCAGAGTCGCCGCTGCTGCCGGGGCCTCTCTCTGAGTGGAGGGCCTGGCCACGGTGGTCGCATCTGCGTATGGGGGACGGACGTACCCGGGCAGACTGGGGCCTACAGGGTGCCGCCGAGGCCAAGACGGCTTCAAGCACCCCGAAGGACCGGACTCAGGAGTTGGCGCCCCAGCTGCCTTCTGAGTAGGGGGAGGGGTTGCCCTTGGGTCTGAGCCCGCCAGTCCTAGTCCAGCAGAAGCCTGAGTACGGGCCTCGCCGCCCGCAGACCCCGGGTCGCAGTGAAAGTGTGTTGCGGTCTCCCAGGTGGCAGTGGGGACAACAGCCCACTCTCACCTTCTTTCTACCTGTTCCCTGCAGGGCTCTCCCTATGACCATACACCCGGCATGGCAGGTTCCTTGGGGTACCACCCGTACGCAGCGCCCCTGGGCTCGTACCCGTACGGGGACCCCGCGTACCGAAAGAACGCCACGCGAGACGCCACCGCTACACTCAAGGCCTGGCTCAACGAGCACCGCAAGAACCCCTACCCCACCAAGGGCGAGAAGATCATGCTGGCCATCATCACCAAGATGACCCTCACCCAGGTGTCCACCTGGTTCGCCAACGCGCGCCGGCGCCTGAAGAAGGAGAACAAGATGACGTGGACTCCGAGGAACCGCAGCGAGGATGAGGAAGAGGAGGAGAACATTGATCTGGAGAAGAACGACGAGGATGAGCCCCCCAAGCCCGAGGACAAGGGAGACCCTGAGGGCCCCGAAGCAGGTTGGTGGACGTGGGAAAGGATGTGTAGAGCAGGAGTAAGAAAGAAAAGGGGGGGGCGTCTAGAAAGGGGGAGCACAGGACCTGGAGGTTGGGGGCAGGGGTCTTTGCCTCTGCGCTTGGGGACCTGGAACCCGCCGCGCGGCCTCTGCGCCTCTGATTGCCTGGGTTTCGCCCGCAGGAGGAGCGGAACCGAAGGCGGCTTCGGGCTGCGAGCGGCTGCAAGGGCCGCCCACTCCCGCCGGCAAGGAGACCGAAGGCAGCCTCAGCGACTCCGATTTTAAGGAGCCGCCATCCGAGGGCCGTCTCGACGCGCTG